TATATTCCCTAATACTAAAGACTGTCGTACTTGAATATATTTGTAGTGTGTGTGTGTGTTTATGTATGTATATGTTTGTGTGTGTATATGTATATATATATTTGTGTATATATACACACACATGTACGTATGTACGTGTTTATATGTACATACATACATACATGCATATGTATATATATACATATATATGAGCTAGATATATATATACATATACATATATATATATATATATATATATATATATATATATGTATATGTACATATATATGTGTATACATATATATATATATGTGTGTGTGTGTGTGCGTGTGTGTGTGTTTGTGTGTACATATATATATATATATATATATATATATATATATATATATATATATGTTTGTATTTATATATATATGTATATATATGTATATGTATATATATGTATATATGTACATATATAGATCTAGATCTATACGTATATATATATATATACGTATATAAATATATATATATATATATATATATATATATATATATGCATACACACACGTACACACACACACAAATAGCAAACGTTATCCTAATCATAGTCAGAATATTCATGAAATACCAAAGGAAATCTATTTATCCACCATACCTAATGCACATACTGATTAGATTTAAAAACAAAAATACAGTTTCCCTCATTTTTCCGAGTCATTAAGTATATTCAGCTGGATTTTCCAAAAGAAGGACCTAATAATCAGTGTGCTCTTGTGTCTACGATAGAGATGATCATCGTAGTGTTACTGGACATAATTTTAGTAATAACGAAAATGAAAAAAAATATATAAAAATCAACGTTACTCTCATTATCTTTGTTAATGCCACCAACTACTTCTGTTTTTCAAATTTCATATGCATGTAATATATCTTTATTCGTTTATCTTCTCCACGTAAGAGAGAGAACAGCGTAGTCAGGATGGCCGAGCGGTCCAAGGCGCTGCGTTCAGGTCGCAGTCCGGTCTTCCGGGCGTGGGTTCGAATCCCACTCCTGACATGGCTTTTAAAAGGACGACCATAGAGAGACAATTGCATGTTCAACATTTACAATGATCTCAATGACAACTAAACCCGATCTTCTTTCTGTTGAAACTCGTGGTCGGGGATACAGACTACCACGCTGTCTGGCCCACTTATAATTACGCTTTGCTAGTCATCATGTAAGTAATGTAGTGTAAATTCGATATACGAGAGGGCCTCATCAAAAGGTATTAATAATCAATAATTTTATTAAGAATCATACAAGTTTGTCCATATTAGCTATTGAAGTAGGTCTGCACTTCAGCCGCTGTATCCATAACCTGCAAAGGACAAGGTAAAGTGTCAATTCCTTCGTCAGAACAAATGAAACCATCTTCATATTCTTGAAGAATTGCATTATGCTGCAACTGAATGTCTACAAAATCACAAATACGACAGTGAGAAAGTGATACTAAAAAGACACTCTACCTCCGGAGGGCTTGCAGTACTGGTCGACAGTGACGTACTCCTGCTGCTGGACGGTTGTGGTGACGTACTGTGGCACTGTCTCGGTCACGTAGCGGGGCACTGCTTTCGTCTGTGTCACATACTGGGGCACGGCCTGGGTCTCTGTCACGTACTGGGTGGTGTACTGGACGGAGAGATGGGACGCTAAATTCATTACAAAACCAACTAAGTTATAAGGTAAAAGAATGTGAGAGAAATTAGTGTCTACTTTTTTACTGAACTATCTGGAGGTGTGAGCGAAACCAGACATGATAAAAATAGCTAACAGGTACTTACAGCGGTATGGTACTGCGTCTGAGTTTGGTATCGGGTCACAGTGACATACTGGGGCACCGACTGCGTCTTGGTCACGTATCTGACCTCCGGAGGACAAGGCTGGAAGGGAAGCAATTGGGGTCGAGACGTGAGAAGTCAGGCATATATTTTATTTTTATTTATTTTTTCCTTTTTTTTAAAGATCGCAGTCAGTTTGCTAATGGAACTAATCTCGAAGCTTGACATTGGGATTTATGACTTTTTTCTAAAGAAATTTCACATGCTAGTATACTGCTGACGTCAGATGCTGACCTTTGCGTAGCCATACTGGGCCTCAACGACCGCTGCAGCCACGAGGAGGGTTGCCAGAACAGCACTGCCAAAAAATACGAAATCGTTATTGCCGGTTTTTATGAGCTATTGCACTTTCTAATACTCAGACACACGTGCATCCACATGCACACAAATATATCTATATATCTATATTATACTTACACACATACACATACACATACACACATACAAACATACACATACACATACACACACACACACACACACACACAAACATACACACACATGTATATATACACATACACACACACACACACATATATATATACATGTGTCTATATATATCATATATATATATATATATATACATATATATATATATACGTGTGTTTGTGTGTGTGCAATATTGATAGATATATTTGTGTGTTATTTTGTGTATGTGGATATATATATATATATATATATATATATATATATATATATATATATATATATATATATATATATATATATATGTAAATATTTATGTATGCATGTATGTTTGTATGTATATTGAAGACTGCATAAAGATGTCTTTGGATAAATACAACAAAATGAAGTGACGAACCGAATCATATTGAAAACACTCTTGCCAAAACGAACCACCGCTGAGAACTGCAGGGTCGGTGTGCTCTGGAGGCCTTATATACTCGGATTCTCTCCTCAATCCAGACTTTCCCGCCCACCCAGCAAGGTCGACACGTTGGAAAATTTGTGAATGGAGTATAGCTTACGACTTTCTTATGATTATCAGTCGATAACTAATAATAATGGTTGAAGGATTGAGAATGTATCTACAGTTGGTAAGCTTAGATTATTTATAAAAAAGGACTATGTTGTGCAGTATTATGGAGAGGATTTAAGGAGAGGAACACCAGGCATAGTGGAGGAAGGTCAGGGTGTGACGAAAAGGGGCTATATAATGGCCAGTAACATCCCACACACACGCAGTTCCCTGTTAGCTCTCTAAGAAGCACTACCTAAAGAGCACTTCAACATGCATTTGTGAGTTTTTTAGTCTTACGTTTCGTTACTGCGAAATAGAGGCTTCATGAAATCAGGCATTGGGCATTTTTAACTCTATTTCATACTCATTTCTGAAGAACACATTAGAACACTTTCAAGATGGTTAATTGGTGATGTGCTTCCTCTCCCCAGCTCTTTCCTGACGGCGGCCCTGATGGTGGCAGTGGTGGCGGCGGCTCCTGAGGCCCAGTATGGTTATCAGGCCCCTGTGAGTAATGCCTAAACAGCGCCTTTATGACTATAGAAATATCCTTAGAGTTTTATAGATTGTACTCCAGTTTTAGCACAGAAAAGGACACAAATTTCTTCTGTTCTCGCCCCCAGAAGTGTCAGCCTGAAACCCAGTACGTGACCCGGACGGAGACCGTGCCCGAGTACGTAACCACAACCCAGTACCAGACTCAGACGGAGTACAAGACTCAGGTAAGCTCTCACGCTACTTCATGTTGTTTTAAAGGATCCAGTCTAGTGCCCTTACTCTCATAATAAAAGCTCGTATCCAGCCTTTAATTATTGCATTGCTACATAAGCCATTCCCATTGCAGTACCAGCCGCGCTACGTCACCCAAACGCAGCAGGTGCCACAGTACGTCACCCGAACGCAGACGGTGCCCGAGTACATCACCCAGACGGTGCCACAGTACGTCACCAGGACGCAATACCAGAAGCAGTACGTCACCGTCACCAAGCCATGCCAGAGCTCAGGAGGCAAGTGATATATTTTGACTGATATGTATTTTTTTGAATAAATGATATATTTTGAGCTTAAAACTGTTAAAGAACCGTGCATGCTTCTTTATATGACATTCAATATTTTTTTCTACTTTCACAGGTTACGGTGGATATCGCGGTTAAGGACATCCGAGGAATCTTCGTGGTTTTTAAAAGTCTCAGAATCGGCTTTTGTAATTTAATAAACAGTCTTTAAACACACCATATATTTTATACTCCTTGATATCATAGAATCTACCTAAGAGATATAAAATGTTATAAGTATACATGTCTGTATATACATTCGTACACACACGCAGTATGTGTTATATATGTATACATACCATACACAGACACACACATACACACACACACATATATATGTGTGTGTGTGTGTGTGCCATGAATTTTACGTCAAACACAAAGACTGAATGACTGAATGACTATGAAAATACTGACGGATTTTTTGGCCTTATTTTTTCGAGTTATTAAGTACATTCAGCTGCATTTCCCAATTTATAAGCATTTACCAATATGTACTAACATTCTTTACGAAATCAGTTACTTGTTCCCTGTTATGTGTATCGTGTTTTTGACGATCAAAGTTAAATTAGAAGTTGATTAAGACCTCAAGAATGTGATTCTTTGAGCAGCACAATTCTTATCACCGTTGTTAGATATGCCCTTCCTTCCTCTGGTCACTGTCGTATCACTGCGATTGTATATTAATTATTGGTTATAGAGCATATCCTAAAGACTTTTTTATAGTTTCGATTATTCTTCCGTATGTTTTTTTTTTTCTTTCTTTTTTCTTTTTTCTCTTTTTACTTTTCTTTGATATTTATTTGTTTCACTTCGGAGAACACTATTGGTTAAAGAGCATATTTTAAAGACTCTTTAATAGTTTCGATTATTCTTTTGTTCCGTATGTTTTTTGTTTGTTTGTTTGTTTGTTTTTCCTTTTTACTTTCCCTTGACATTTATTAGTTTCACGTCGGACAGCACAGAAGACAGTGACTTATATTTTAATTATTTGTTATAGAACATACTTTAAAGAATTTTTATAGGTTCGCTTATTGTTTCGTATGTTTTTTTTTTGTTTTTTGTTTTTTTTACTTTTCTTTGATATTTATTAGTGTCACATCGGGAGCACAGAAGACAGTGATTTATACAATACTCATTGGTTATAGAATATATTTTAAAGACGTTTTTATAGTTTCGATTATTCTTTCGTATGTTTCTTGTTTGTTTGTCTGTATCCTTTTTTACTTTTCCTTGACATTTATTAGTTTCACATCGGAGAGCACAGGAGACAGTGACATATATATTCATTATTGGTTATAGAACATATCCTAAAGACTTTTATAGTTGCAATTATTCTTTCGTATGTTTTTTTCTTTTTTTTGTACCTTTCTTTGACATTTATTAGTATCACATCGGAGAGCATAGAACACAGTGGCTGCGTGTGTACTTATATATAAAGGCCGACGGAATTATCTTTGTAGTAAGGTACAGCTGATGTTTTTTGTTTTTTTTTCCCATATCAGAGCCTGACGTTGGCGACCATGTTTAATTTCATGGTTGTACAAGGGAGTGTACGAAGGCGGTTTCCCGTTGTTTCAAACAGCGGCGCCGCGCGTGAACTTCTCACGTTTGGCTTCGCAAGACACATCTAATACATCTATCTAAATCATTTTTTTCATACAGCGTATTTAGATAGATAGACAAATCGGTAGATATAGATCCGGTATAAACAGTAATTTAGCCTGAAAAGTGTCGTAAAAAAGGCAATCTATGAGTTCATGAAATAGATAGAAAAGAAATCGTTATGTATGGATATTTTGATGGCGTTGCTAAATAACAGAGCTGGGGATGGGAGAATAATACATGCAATGAAAATGATAATAATAGCGACACTGGACATGCTTAGATGATGGCGACGTAAGGGATAATGTTGAAAATGAAGATAATGATAATGGTTGCAACAGTTGTTATCAATGGAATCAAACATCGGGTTGGTGACTATTATCACCGTTATTTTTGCTAAACGTTTCATCTTGATAACTCTCCCTAACTTTTCTCTTCCAAGTATATCCACCAATAACTTTATAATCATTACTTTATCGTATCTTATCACATTTCTTTCATAGTCGTGACTGATATTTTAATTACAATCAAATTTAACATAATGGTCGTTAGTACTATAACACTTCCTTCTTTCTTTTCACGCATGAATGTGTATATATAGTTTATTCACACCGCATAATTTCGTGTTTAATGTAGTCAGGATGGCCGAGCGGTCCAAGGCGCTGCGTTCAGGTCGCAGTCCGGTCTTCCGGGCGTGGGTTCGAATCCCACTTCTGACACAACTTTTAGGACAGACACAGAGAAATAATTGCATGCTTTACACTTAAAGTCACCTCAGAAGAGAAGTTGTTTCCGATTCTGTTAAAACACATGGTCGTGGGATACTGCCTACCATGCTATTCCATACCCTTTGGATTGTCAAGCGAAGTACGCTTAATACTCAGTATGTGTATGTTTACGTGTGGTCAAATTTTCCATGTATAAAAAGTCCTCAGAAAAAAAGTAATAATAATCAATAATTTTATTAAGAATTATACAAGTTTTTTCCCCGTTAGATAAGGATGCTGATCTGCATTTCAACCGCTGTAACCATAACCTGAGAAAAAGAAAAACAGTCATAAAAAGGGGACCAAGAAGGAAGGCAGTAATAGCACATTCACCAGCAAAAGAAAAATATATAGAGATATAACCGTCTTTCTGTTTTCCAGGAATTGCATTATATGTAATCAACTGCAAGGAAATCACAACATGTGTGGAGCGACCTACCTCCGGAGGGCTTGCAGTACTGGTCGACAGTGACGTACTCCTGCTGCTGGACGGTTGTGGTGACGTACTGTGGCACTGTCTCGGTCACGTAATGGGGCACTGCCTTTGTCTGTGTCACATACTGGGGCACGGCCTGGGTCTCTGTCACGTACTGGGTGGTGTACTGGACGGAGAGATGGGGCGCTAGATTAATTACAAAGCTAATTGATATAGAACGTAAAAGAAAATGAGAGAAATTAAGAAATTAGGTCTATTTTTAATGATTTGTCTGATGGTGTGACCAAAACTAGACATGACAAATATTTGACAGGTACTTACCGCAGTTTGGTACCGTGTCTGAGTTTGGTATCGGGTCACAGTGACATACTGGGGCACCGACTGCGTCTTGGTCACGTATCTGACCTCAGGAGGGCACGGCTGGCAGGGAAAGAATGATAGTTTAGAAATTCCAAATAAGTTCAACACTGACATCTATAAAGACAATCATGAAATACTCAGCAGTCTAGCCAGGTCTTTGAGTGAATATTACAGATGGAAATAAAATGCTATCTTTCTAAATAATATAAATAATAATATCTTTCTAAATAATATATCCAATTACTCGTACCAACCTTTGCGTAGCCATACTGGGCCTCAACGACCGCCGCTGCGAGAAGGATGGTAGCGAAAACGGCGCTAAAAAGAAAAAGAGGGAATCCGTTATTGCGAGTCTTCGGGAATAACACACATTCAATACATAAAATAAGAAGTGTAAATATAAATATATATTTTTTCTTTCTTTCTTTCTTTCTTTCTTTCCTTCCTTTATAGATATGGCAGTTTCAGGCGACTAACCGAATCATGTTGGAGTTGTTTAAGTGACGCTGTTGCCAGAACGAACCACTGCTGAGTACTGCAGAGTCCGCTTGCTGTCGATGGCCTTTTATACTTGGATTTTCTCTCCCTTCAGACCCTCCCGCCCACTCTACAAGGTCGCCAGTGGAGAAAATTTGAGAATTGAATCTATAGGATGAGTTTTTACTATAGATTTCATACGTAAAAAGTAACAGGTGCTGAGAATGCAAATGTGACGGGCAAACCACATGTAAATAACACTGTGCATTCTGTGGTAGAATAAGTGGAATATAAGGAGGGGCCCACACTCGCAGGCCGGTATGGATTCCACGAAGGTCACGGAGACAAGCGCAGGGGCTATATAAACACCGCCAAAACTCCACGCACTCACAGTTCCCTCTTAACTCCCGAAGGAACACTACCTTAAGAGCACTTCAACATGCATTTGTGAGTTTTCTCTTCAAGTTCCTTTACTACGGAACAAAGACGACACTTTTGTCATGAAATTATAAGTGGAAAATTCCCAGGCTATTTCAAACTCAGCTTCATACAATACAGTACACCACTTTAGAGATACTTGATTCTTCAAGTTCTTTCTCTCTTTCATACTCATTTCTGAAGAACACATTAGAACACTTTCAAGATGGTTAATTGGTGATGTGCTTCCTCTCCCCAGCTCCTTCCTGACGGCGGCCCTGATGGTGGCAGTGGTGGCGGCGGCTCCTGAGGCCCAGTATGGTTATCAGGCCCCTGTGAGTAATGCCTAAACAACGCCTTTATGACTATAGAAATATCCTTAGACTTTTATAGATTGTACTCTAGTTTTAGCACAGAAAAGGACACAAATTTCTTCTGTTCTCGCCCCCAGAAGTGCCAGCCTGAGACCCAGTACGTGACCCGGACGGAGACCGTGCCCGAGTACGTAACCACAACCCAGTACCAGACTCAGACAGAGTACAAGACTCAGGTAAGCTCTCACGCTACTTCATGTTGTTTTAAAGGATCCAGTCTAGTGCCCTTACTCTCATAATAAAAGCTCGTACCTAACCTTTATCTATTGCAAATGTAACGTCAGACATTCCCACTGCAGTACCAGCCGCGCTACGTCACCCAAACGCAACAGGTGCCACAGTACGTCACCCGAACGCAGACGGTGCCCGAGTACATCACACAGACGGTGCCACAGTACGTCACCAGGACGCAATACCAGAAGCAGTATGTCACCGTCACCAAGCCATGCCAGAGCTCAGGAGGCAAGTGATATATTTTGACTGATATGTATTTTTTTGAATGAATGATATATTTTGAGCTTAAAACTGTTAAAGAACCGTGCATGCTTCTTTATATGACATTCAATATTTTTTTCGACTTTCACAGGTTACGGTGGATATCGCGGTTAAGGACTTCCGAGGAACCTTCGTGGTTTTTAAAAGTCTCAGTATCGGCTTTTGTAATTTAATAAACAGTCTTTAAACACACTATATTTTATACTCCTTGATATCATAGAATCTACCTCAGAGATATAAAATGTTATGAAGTGCATAAGTATACATGTCTGTACATACATTCGTACACACACGCAATATGTGTTATATATGTATACATACCATACACAGACACACACATACACACACACATATATATATGTGTGTGTGTGTGTGTGTGTGTGTGTGTCATGAATCTTACGTCAAACACAAAGACAGCAAACTGAATGACTATGAAAATACTGACGGATTTTTTTGGCCTTATTTTTCGAGTTATTAAGTACATTCAGCTGCATTTCCCAGTTTATAAGCATTAACCAATTTGTACTAACATTCTTTACGAAATCAGTTACTTGTTCCCTGTTATGTGTATTGTATTTTTGACGATCAAAGTTAAATTAGAAGTTGATTAAGACCTCAAGAATGTGATTCTTTGAGCAGCACAGTCCTTATCACTGTTGTTAGATATGGCATTCCTTCCTCTGGTCACTGTCGTATCACTGCGATTGTATATTAATTATTGGTTATAGAGCATATCCTAAAGACTTTTTTTATAGTTTCGATTATTCTTTTTTTTTCTTTTTTTTTCTTCTTTTTTTTACTTTTCGTTGATATTTATTAGTTTCACTTTGGAGAACACTATTGGTTAAAGAGCATATTTTAAAGACTCTTTAATAGTTTCGATTATTCTTCTATTCCGTATGTTTTTTGGTTTGTTTGTTTGTTTTTTTCCTTTTTACTTTTCCTTGACATTTATTAGTTTCACGTCGGACAGCACAGAAGACAGTGACTTATATATTAATTATTGGTTATAGAACATACTTTAAAGAATTTTTATAGGTTCGATTATTGTTTCGTATGTTTTTTTTGTTTGTTTGTTTGTTTGTTTTTTTTACTCTTCTTTGATATTTATTAGTGTCATATCGGGAGCACAGAAGACAGTGATTTATACATTACTCATCGGTTATAGAATATATTTTAAAGACGTTTTTATAGTTTCGATTATTCTTTCGTATGTTTCTTGTTTGTTTGTCTGTATCCTTTTTTACTTTTCCTTGACATTTATTAGTTTCACATCGGAGAGCAAAGAAGACAGTGACATATATTCATTATTGGTTATAGAACATATTTTAGGGATTTTATATAGTTGCAATTATTCTTTCGTATGTTTTTTTTTTTTTTTTGTACCTTTCTTTGACATTTATTAGTGTCACATCGGAGAGCACAGAACACAGTGGCTGCGTGTGTACTTATATATAAAGGCCGACTGAATTATTTTTGTAGTAAGGTACATCTAATGTTTTTTTTGTTTTTTTCCGTATCAGAGCCTGACGTTGGCGACCATGTTTAATTTCATGGTTGTAGAAGGGAGTGTACGAAGGCGGTTTCCCGTTCTTTCATACAGCGGCGCCGCGCGTGAACCTCTCACGTTTGGCTTCGCGAGGCACACCTAATACATCTATCTAAATCATTTTTTTCATACAGCGTATTTAGATAGATAGACAAATCGATAGATATAGATCCGGTATAAATAGTAATTTAGCTTGAAAAGTGTCGTAAAAGAGCCGATCTATGAGTTCATGAAATAGATAGAAAAGAAAGCGTTATGTATAGATATGTTGATGGCGTTGCTAAATAACAGAGCTGGGGATGGGAGAATAATTCATGCAAAGATAATGATGATAATAGCGACACTGGACATGCTTAGATGATGGCGACGTAAGTGATAATGTTGAAAATGAAGATAATGATAATGGTTGCAACAGTTGTTATCACTGGAATCAACATCGGGTTGGTGACTATTATCACCGTTATTTTTGTTAAACGTTTCATCTTGATAACTCTCCCTAACTTTTCTCTTCCAAGTATATCCATCAATAACTTTGTAATCATTACTTTATTGTATCTTATCACATTTCTTTCATAGTCGTGACTGATATTTTGATTACAATCAAAATTAACATAATCGTCGTTAGTACTATAACTCTTCCTTCTTCCTTTTCACGCATGAATGTATATATAGTTTATTCACACCGCATACTTTCGTATTTACTGTAGTCAGGATGGCCGAGCGGTCCAAGGCGCTGCGTTCAGGTCGCAGTCCGGTCTTCCGGGCGTGGGTTCGAATCCCACTTCTGACATGGCTTTTAGAAGGACAGACACAGAGAAATAATTGCATGCTTTACACTTAAAGTCACCTCAGAAGAGAAGTTGTTTCCGTTTCTGTTAAAACACATGGTCGTGGGATACTGCCTACCATGCTATTCCATACCCTTTGGATTATCAAGCGAAGTACGCTTAATATTCAGCATGTGTGTTTACGTGTGGTCAAATTTTCCATGTATAAAAAGTCCTCAGAAAAAAAGTAATAATAATCAATAATTTTATTATGAATTATACAAGTTTTTTTCATGTTAGATAAGGATGCTGATCTGCATTTCAGCCGCTGTAGCCATAACCTGAGAAAAAGAAAAACAATCATAAAAAAGGGACCAAGAAGGAAGGCAGTAACAGCAGATTCACCAGCAAAAGAAAAATATATAGATATAACCGTCTTTCTGTTCTCCAGAAAATACGTTATATGTAATCAACTCCAAGGAAGTCACAACATGTGTGGAGCGACCTACCTCCGGAGGGCTTGCAGTACTGGTCGACAGTGACGTACTCCTGCTGCTGGACGGTTGTGGTGACGTACTGTGGCACTGTCTCGGTCACGTAGTGGGGCACTGCCTTTGTCTGTGTCACATACTGGGGCACGGCCTGGGTCTCTGTCACGTACTGGGTGGTGTACTGGAAGGAGAGATGGAGCGCTAGATTAATAACAAAGCTAATTGATATATAACGTAAAAGAAAATGAGAGAAATTAGGTCTATTTTTAATGATTTGTCTGATGGTGTGACCAAAACTAGACATGACAAATATTTGACAGGTACTTACCGCAGTTTGGTACCGTGTCTGAGTTTGGTATCGGGTCACAGTGACATACTGGGGCACCGACTGCGTCTTGGTCACGTATCTGACCTCAGGAGGGCACGGCTGGAAGGGAAAGAGAGACAATTTAAAAATTCCAAATAATACTAACAATGGACACTAACATCTATTATGCCAATCAAGAAATACTCAGCAGTCTAGCCAGGTCTTTGAGTGAATATTACAGATGGAAATAAAATGCTATTATAAATAATATCTTTCTAAACAATATATCCAATTACTCGTACCAACCTTTGCGTAGCCATACTGGGCCTCAACGACCGCCGCTGCGAGAAGGATGGTAGCGAAAACGGCGCTAAAAAGAAAAAGAGGGAATCCGTTATTGCGAATCTTCGGTAATAATACACATTCAATACATAAAATAAGAAGTGTAAATATAAATATATATTTTTTCTTTCTTTCTTTCTTTCTTTCTTTCTTTCCTTTATAGATATGGCAGTTTCAGGCGACTAACCGAATCATGTTGGAGATGTTTAAGTGACGCTGTTGCCAGAACGAACCACT